TTTTTTTTTTTTTTTTTTTTTTTTTTCCACCCTCCCCAGCCAGAACCTCGCTTTGGACAGCTTCTGGGTTTTGTAAATTGATTTTTGACTAATTCTCCAGTAACATTTTATGACCAGCAGTCTCAATCTGTATATTTGTAAATAGTATCATGTTTCTGTGATAAAGTATTACACAATAAAAAGGAGAGAAACACCTTTTATTAGCTACCCACTTTGTGTAGGTTCCTTAATTTTTTTTTTATGAGCAACTTTCTTTTGCTGCTAGATTTCTTTTTCTTTAATTTTTTAAACTGTTCTTCCTTTTACACTATTCCCTCAGGCAATGTTGTTGCTGAAAAACACCTTTCATCTTCCTTCATGCATCAAATGATCTAAGCACACTTGTTGCTCAACAGACAGGTTTGTGCATAGACCACAGAATTTTCTGTCCATTATTAAGCTGGTGCTCTGACTGTTTGCAGTGCAGTCTCTTTGAAGTGTGTTGGAGTCACAGCCCCTTTTCCTTAATATGCAGCCCTCTCCAGTTACATTTGCTGAAAAGCCAGTAAGTTTTTTTTACAATTGTTCAATAGACTCATATTTTCCAGAGATCCAAGAATCTTTTAATTTAACATTTTTCATGCTGTTAGAACAATGAACTTGAACGTCTGGAGACATGCTATCCTGCCTTTGTAAACTGTCAATGACAAATGCCAGTTATGCTTTTTGCAAGCATATGAACTCGATATAATTACAAGGTCATTTGTTATGCATTCTACACAGTTTAGTGAGACCGTTTAAATAATCTTTTAAAAATGGAATGGAAACGTTCTGAAAGCTGATTGAAAGTGGCTACAGAAAGCAATAACTGAAAAGATAACAATGAAAGACAGTGGTCCTTTTCCCTTAGATTACAACTGAGCTGTGTCATTATACAATTGTTACATAAACCTCTAAAATGAGTTTCTGTGAGCTCTATATTAGAGGGATTAGGACTTAAAAAGGAGGCATGTCTTAATAACAAAGTACAGCACAGTCAATGTTGTAATGGGCAGAAGAGGAAGGTTCTTTGGTTCAATCGGTACGTGGAAGATAATGTTTTAATGACGCTTTTGGGACAGTGGCTTATCACCATTGTTTCATTGTGTTTTAGTCTGAGCTGATACTGGAGAATGGGCGAAGCTAATCTATGATGTATTGCTTTTTTCAAAAATATCTTCAAGGAACTATCGATAACAGAAGTGGGGGTATGAGAGAGAAGAAAAACAGGCTGTGATTTTCAAAGGTGTTGAATGCTCTTGTTCACATATTCCGTTTGAAATATCTTTAAATGAACCTGACTTTCTAGAGGTTGGCTTTCTGAAAATGCACTGGGGTAGTTGGGGGCTTTGGCCTTTTGTACAAATTGGCAGTGTTGAATATCAAGAATTAAAGGACAACTTATGTGCATGAATAGATTTCACTCATTTTGATTTCTCTGTAAAAGGATGCTACAATTGGAACCATAAAAATGCATTATTAATATGCTAAATAAGGAATACCACAGCTTGGGGACACTTGTGAAAATAAGAGCTTCTACTTCAGTGCCGTGCTGAAGGAGGTGGTCTCTGAACCAGGGGTGAGAACTCAGTAAGAACTTTGAAGAAGTAAAGCTTGGTGCTAGTTTGGGCAGAGTGAGGTTGGAGTTTGGGTGCTACTACCTACCTCTCTGATTTTGTTGAGGCAAAGCAAACTAATGCCAGATGAGAAAACAGTTGCCAAATTGCTAGCATGAAATCCCTCTGTGAGAACTAGATACACCATCAAATGTTTTGGGCTGGTTTGCAAGACTGATTTTTCTTTCACTAGTGATGAAGGCCTAGGATCTTTTCCACAGGTAATGACCCATATGTTTCCATCCTTAGGATCTTCGTTAGTATGACCAGGATGATTGACTTAAGGAAGGTGGAATAACTAATGTTTTTATTTAGATTTCCATGGCTCTAAGATGCCATTCTTATTTCACTAATGCTTTCAGTGAACTAAAGCAAGAATTGCTTGCCTTGAATAGTGCATGGATGCATGATTGGAATTTCTCAATTCTCTGTCTGCTTAGTGCCACAGCCTTTTACATCGCATCGCCCGCTCAGCAGCTTGTCTAGTTGGCGTCTTTGTCATAAAGAAATGAATGCCACGTGGGAAAGTCTATCCATCAACTTCATAACCTCCCCTCTTTTCTTTTAGCTGTTCAGGGCTTTTTAAGTTTCAAGCAGGAGGAGAGAATGGGTTCGCTTCTCAAAGCCTTGTTAGAGAAATACCTGTGGCAAAATCTATTCTTATTCAAGACTTGGTCAGTGTGTGACTGGACTATAAAGAACCATAAGGATTGGTAGCTCCAACACAAGAGTTTTTCTTTTATTCAAGGTGTGAGGGGGAAACCTGGGACAACATAAAATCCCACATTTGGGGAGGCTGATGATCGGGACAGCTACTGCTGCATTGTTAGTTGCTGTATGTTTTACATAAAGTGAGAAAAGAATAGTTTCCCTGTATGTAAAAGCAGGAGCAGCTCAGTTCTTTAACTTTAATTTAGCCAATAATAATTGGCAGAGCTTACGGTCCTCTGAGCAATATACTCCACAGTGCATAATGCAGAGAGATTTTATTGGTCGCATAAAACACAATGAAATCAAGTCATCTAATCAGTAATGTACATCCATAGCATCCACCATTTCCCTCTGATATCTAGTTCTTGTGTAATTTATTGCGAAAGCTTTGAATTGTTCTGACACTGAAAGAAAGATGTTTTCAACCAGTCCATAGGCAGGGAAAGGGTTTTGGGGGGGGGGGGGGGGGTTT